TCCTAAAGGAAAGCCTTGATTGCTCAGGCTAGTCCTTCACACAACAGTGTTTTACATTTCAAATATATGTCACCGGTAATATTGGTCTTCTGACAGAACTATGCCTCTCTCAAAAAGAAAACTGGAACTTTATGGCATGCCAGGTCTTAAGGTTGGTTGTGACCTGTAATGTCTCCTTGAGCAGCTTGTTAACAGGTCTATTCTTTGATATTTGGGTGGGTCTAGTAATTTTTTTTTATTTTTCAAGACAGAGTTTCTCTGTATCTTTGGAGCCTGTCCTGGAACTCACTCTTGTAGATCAGGCTGCCCTTGAACTCATAGAAATCCACCGGCCTCTGCCTCAAGCGCATTGGAATTAAAGGTGTGCACCACCACCACCCAGCAGTGACTTTTTATTTTTAACTCAGTGATGGCTTCTTTGAAATGGTTTGGAGTCAAATATCTGGACAATCCCGATAAACAATGTATACCCAGGTATTCTAATCTCTACCAGCCCTCATTAGCATAGACTCACAGTTTGGGTGTTTTAGACGCATTTCTCCCTCTGATAAATTCTACTGTGTGAGAGTTAAATAATTTTTAAGCATTGGTAAATCTATTGTATCACCAATTCTACTCTTCTCTTATGACACAGTAGTGGAGAGCTACACGACATGTAAGATGCCTTTGATAACATCCACAAATTTAAATATAAATTCAAATTATAGTTAAAGCTTAAATGCAAAGTGCTCGATATCGAGAAGATACTGGAGAAACGAGGCTTCTCTGAGTTTGGCAACTTGTTTCCATGAATGCAGGAAACGTGTTGAAGTTGACTAGGAAGGTGTTTTTACACGCAGCTTTCCACTCCCAAGACTCAAATGAGATGAAGCCACAGAGCAAAGTTATTCAGAGGCCTGCCCCTAGGTCCAGGAGTTAGCAGGGCCCATGAGGGACTTCACAATACAGGCAATATGGCGGCAGGTTCCCACCCAGGCCCATGGAGTTCACACCATAGTGTTTTCCGCACCTCACCCTCTGCTCCTCCCCATCAGGAGACAGCATTCCCTCACTCACCATGTTGTGCTTCTCCATTTTGCCAAAGTTCTCAGCTCATCATCTCCCTGCAACAGCAACTGCACCCGAGAACAGGAATCCACTGGCTCCAGCTCCTCTTCAAAGCCAAGACTGAAGGCGGCTGCCAGGAAGAGACCTGCACTGCTTCTGACTGGCAGGTCATCTGGAGTGCTGATTGGCTAGTGAGTCCTGAGTGGCTAGAGCCCCGCCCATATAGGGTACAGTGTGCTTAAAGAGACAGAATACTAGCTCCTGTCCATTCCATTCACCCCAAGAGAGAACTTTCCAGATCTGAGAATACATGCATTTTAATAGCACTGGCACCTGGCTACTAAAGCAATCAATGTCATCTTCTTGCACTCCTAGCAACTTTCCCTTTTTCTTCCAGCACACTGTGTGACTTATACGGTGCACTGTGCTAGGTGGGTGGAGCAATTTCCTGTCTCACAGATGTAAGGATGCCTAGAATACTAACAACTAAAGAGAGTTTTAAAGTTACAAAATGAAATATTTGTTCTGTGGTCAGGACCTCTCCCACAGCATATTTAGGTGGGATCCTAGAGGCGAAACACATGGCTCCCAGTTTGCATGGGCTCCCCCGTCCTGATTCCCTGATTCCCAACATGGGATCAACCACTAGAGGGTGCTGTACTTAATAAAATGATGGATATTTTGATTTGTTTTCATTTCACCTAATTGAACTTCTATGTGCTAGCAGAGCTGCGCAATCTTAGGATTTTTTCTTACCAAGAAGGAAGCACAAAACACACAAGAAACACTCTTAGGAGATTATTAGAGGGGGCATGTAGAGGCCTGGGAAGTTAGTGTTCAGAGACAGGGAGGACGATGGCTCATCTAGATTTTAAAAGCTGCCTGGTGTATGCACACAGGGGTTGACATGGCTCCATCATATGCAGATGATGGGGCTCAAGGAAGCGGGCAAGGGTTTAGCTGAGTCATACGTGGATCATGCAGGAGGGAACCTTTAACATCCCCAGGTGACTGAGGGCTTGTGTGCCCCTGCATGACCCCTAGAACCTAGAAGTACCAACCATATGTGGCTTAATCCATTGCAGTCACCACCTTACCAAGTGATTTGAAATGCCCATCATGAGCTGAATATTACTGGATCTATCAAGTTATAAAGTAGGACATTTACAGCTACAACCTGTTATCAAATGGGAGTGGTATATTAGAGATCAGGACCACGTAGGTCCTGAAGACACAAGGAAGATACATGAAGAAATGGCCAACTTCCAATGGTTTCTACTCCTGTTACAATGCCTTCTGCTGTCAAGCATACACCTATAGTCTATTCCCTATGATTGGTTGAATGAGGAAGAGATGACTAGGTAGTGGGATTTTCTGAGTTTGAGACGAGTCTGGCATACAGAATCAGTTCCACAATTACACAGAAAAATCCAGTCTTGAAATCACCAAAAAAAAAAAAAAAACTGAATCAAACAATAACTATGACCCAACTTCAATCAGCATCTTACATTCTAGCAGCAGCAGTCACATATAAAGTATTTTGAAGAAGAAAAGTCTCTTTTTGCCTCTGTGCTTTGGCTCTGGCTACCAAGCTCATTCCTGTACTAGCATTAGTGCCTATGTCATTGTAATTTTGGTGAATACTTAAAATGAGCTGAGAAGTCAAGGTTTGTGGGCTGAACAACTACTGGATTCTTCACTTGATCTTAGAGAAAAGGCTGAGAAGCAATCTATTGGATTCTTCAATTGCCATTGGTAAGCAGCTGTTCTTAAGTTACCTGGACCACAGCTTGTAAGACATTCTAATAAGCTCACTTTTTACATCCATGGTGAGAATCATTCTACCTGTTCTGTTCATGTAGAGAATCTTGAATACTGCAGCTGTATATTTTATTCACCTAACTATAGAGGAAGATATGCCGGCTGACAATAGTGCTCATGAAGTCATTCTTTCTAGCTCCATTATTCTCTACATATTCAAATTTCCATGAACACTACCCTTTTTATAATTATTCATTCGCCTGGAGTTTGCTTCGAATTTAAGGAATAAAACCCATAAACAATGGAGTCATCATCCAGCTTTCCGATGGGGGAAAGACCAATCATCTTGAGACCTGGTTCCTGCTTTTCTCCTTCCTGTTGTGTAAAATCCCTGTGAAAACCATATAAAAAGTACCTTCAGGCCGGGCGTTGGTGGCGCACGCCTTTAATCCCAGCACTCGGGAGGCAGAGGCAGGCGGATCTCTGTGAGTTCGAGACCAGCCTGGTCTACAGAGCTAGTTCCAGGACAGGCTCCAAAGCCACAGAAAAACCCTGTCTCGACAAAAAAAAAAAAAAAAAAAAAAAAAAGTACCTTCAGTTCATCTGACCTCAGAGTGAAGCCACAGAACAAATATTTCATTTTGTAACTTTATTTTTTATTTATTTATTTATTTTCGAGACTTGGTTTCTCTGTGGTTTTGGAGCCTGTCCTGGAAATGGCTCTTGTAGACCAGCCTGGTCTCAAACTCCCAGAGATTCTCCTGCCGAGTGCTGGGATTAAAGGCGTGCACCACCACTGCCCAGCTCATTTTGTAACTTAAAAACTCTCTTCTTGAGGGGCGGGGTGGAGCCGCGGCAGGAATGCGAGGGGCGGGACCTGCTGGGAGCGCGGCGGCGGCGGCAGCGTGCGCGGGCACGAGCGACGGGCCTGCTTCGTGCTCAGGAGCAGCGGGCGCGCGCTGCGGCGGGTGTGCGGGACGCGGTCTGTTGTGCTCCCGGTTCTGCTCGGTCCCTCCTCGGTGGCTGGCGGAGGCCCCGAGCGCTGCGCTGCGGGGCGCGTCCCTTCCTTCCCTGCTCGTCCTGCCAGGCTCCTCTCGCACTGAGCGGTCTCTCGGACGCCACACCGGCCCGGATATGGGTCGTGGACAGCAGAAGATTCAGTCTCAGCAGAAAAATGCCAAAAAGCAGACTGGACAAAAGAAGAAACAAGGACATAACCAAAAGGTTGCTGCGAAAACTGCCTTAATATACACCTGCACAGTCTGTAGGACACAAATGCCAGACCTGACTCTTCTACTGTCTCAGACCTAGGTAACAATCCTGCAGCTGCTTTTTTTTTTTCTTTCTTTCTTTTTTTTTGTTTTATTTTTCGAGACAGGGTTTCTCTGTAGCTTTTTTTTTTTTGGGGGGGGGGGTTCCTGTCCCGGAACTAGCTCTTGTAGACCAGGCTGGCCTCGAACTCCCAGAGATCCGCCTGTCTCTGACTTCCGAGCGTGCGCCAGCACCGCCAGGCTGCAGCTGCTTTTTGTAAACAAACTGTTGATCAGCAAAAATAAAGGGGCTACAGAAACACTCATTTTTATGCTGTTCCCTTTGGGCTTCATGCAAAGACAATTCTGTGTAAGTGTATAGTCAACTCTGATTTGGAAATCTGAAAAATCAGTCCATTCTTATAAAGTTTTTTTTACAATTGTAATTATATTGATGTTCATATTGTGTAAAATAACTCATTCAATAAAGTAGTGCTTTGATTTCACAACATCACAAGAAAAAAGAAACTCTCTTTAGTTGTTAGTGTTTTGGGCATCCTTACCCCTGCGGGACAGGAAATTGCTCAATCCACCTAGTACAGTGCTCCATACAAGCTAGTGAGTCACCATTGCATCCAACAGGAAAAAAAGAAAGTTCCTCTGGAGAGCTAGAAGATGACATTGATCACTTTAGTAGCCAGGGGCCAGTGCTATTAAATGCATGTATTCTCAAATCTGGAGAAGTTCTCTGTTGGGGTGAATGGAATGGACAGGAGCCAGTATTCTGTCTCTTTTAGCACACTGTACCCCTATGGGTGGTGCTTTTGCCACTCAGGACTCACTAGCCAATCATGCACTCCAGGTGACCTGTCAGTCAGAAGCAGTGCAGGTCTCTTCCGGGCAGCCGCCTTCAGTCTTGGCTTTGAAGAGGAGCTGGTGCCAGTAGATTCCTGTTCTCGGGTGCAGTTGCTGTTGCAGGGAGATGATGAGCTGAGAACTTTGGCAAAATGGAGAAGCACAACATGGTGAGTGAGGGAACGCGGTCTTCTGATGGGGAGGAGCAGAGGGCGAGGTGCGGAAAACACTATGGTGTGTCCTTCCGTCATCTGCATGGAAACCTGCCGCCATAGTCCCTGTACTGTGAAGTCCCTCATGGTCCCTGCTAAACTCATGAGTCTAGGGGCAGGCCTGTGTATAATTTTGCTCTGACTCAATCTGCTTAAAGTATTGGGAGCAGGAAGCTGTGTTTAAAAACACTTTTGTAGTCAACTTCAGCAGGGTCGATGCATTCACGGAAACAAGTTGCCAAGCTCAGAGAGGCCTAGTTTCTTCAACATAGTTTCAATATTGAGCACTTTGCATTTAACCTTTAAATGTAATCTCCATTTATATTTAAATCTGTGGAGGTTATCAAATACATCTCACATGTTGGGTAGGTCTCCACTACTATACGATAATGTAGAATAGTAGAATTGGAAATACAAAGGATTTACCAATGCGTTTGAAATAATTAAGTCTCACAAAGTAGAATTTAGCAGAGGGAGGACTGTGTCTAAAACACCCAAAAGCTAAGTATATGCTAATGAGGGCTGGTAGAGATTAGAATGCCCAGGTATACATTGTTCATCAGGATTGTCCAGATATTTGACTCCAAACCATTTCAAAGAAGCCAGCACTGATATTTTTTTTAAAAAATTGCCGGTGGGCAACGATGGTGCACATCTTTAATCCCTGTAATCCTGAGGACGAGGCAGGTGGATCTCTGTGAGTCTACAAGAGCAAGTTCTAGGACAGGCTCCAAAGCTACAGAGAAATCCTGTCTCGAAAAGTCAAAAGTAAATAAATAAACATCACTAGGCTCATCCAAATATCAAAAAACAGACCTCTTATGAAGCTGCTCAAAGAGGCATTACAGAGTCACAGCCAACCATAAGGCCTGGTCTGATTTCAAGTTCCTGTTTTCCTTTTGAGAAAAGCATAGTTCTACCAGAAGGGCTATATGACACCAGGTGACCTATATTTGAAATGTAAATCACTGTTGTGTGAAGGACTGGCCTGAACAATCAAGGCTTTCATTTAGAACCTCAGGCAGGTAAGAGGGACATTCTTGGGAGACCTAGTAACAGCCTGGGACATAAGCCTTGTGAGTTTCCCTAAGAACCTGATGTATTGATAATAAAACAGAGCTCCTTCTCTAAAACCAGGAATATGCATTGGAGCTGGTAATGGTCTGGTGCCCAGGCCTTTGTGGAGGGGTTGCTTCAGATCTTGACAACCCAACCCTTCCCACTAGATGGAGCTCTGCGCTTAGCCAAGATTTCAAAATACCTTGTATACCCATTGTGTAGAATTGTTGGACTAGCTTCTTCCTAAATTTGTCTCATTGCATGATAGTTTCTGCTGACTTCATATAATTCTTTCATTTCTCCTCAGGAATTAGTATACAAAATGCTAGACATCATCTTCTCTCTCTCTCCCTCTATTCTTTTTCTTGATACAGTGTTTCTCTGGCCTTGAACTCACAGAGAAACATAGGGCTCTTCTCCCTGTGTCTTGGGATTAAAGGCATATGCTACCACCACCTGGCTATTTTTCATAAGAAGCTTATTAGCATGGGACATATCTTCTGCAACACCCCCCCGTCTTTTTTTATTTTTTACTTGTCCAGTATTTCTCATCCCCTGTGACCTTCACCTTACAACCCTGTCAGTGAAGAATGACCTGCTGTAACAGGTCACTGGCGTACTTAAGAAAATATTCTGGGAATATTTCTTGTCTAAATATCTAGACCAGCATGTTGCCTGTTGCTACCTCAATTGTTCAAAGTATAATCTGGACACAGTGGTGGCGCATGCCATTAATCCCAGCACTCGGGAGGCAGAGGCAGGCGGATCTCTGTGAGTTCAAGAACAGTCTGGTCTACAAGACCTGGTTCCACGACAGGCTCCAAAAACCACAGAGAAACCCTGTCACGAAAAACCAAAAAAAAAAAAAAGGGCTGGAGAGATGGCCCAGTGGTTGAGAGCACTTGCTGCTCTTCCAGAGGTTCTGAGTTCGATTCCCAGCAACCATATGGTGGCTCACAACCATCTGTAATGAGATCTGGTACCCTCTGGCTTGTGGACATACATGGAGGTAGATTGTTGTATACATAATAAATAAATCCTTAAAAAAAACAAAGTATAATCTGGACGAAGTGCCTAAGAGATACTTAAAAGATAACAGCATATATTGAATGCAAAATCTGTCTAACCTGGTTCCACTTGAGCATTGGACAGAGATTGATGCATACTGTTATTAAAGAGATTTTTTTTCATTAATCTCCTAAGTGTGTGATGTGATATCTCAGTGAAAAGGCATATTAATTCTAGAAGAGTTTCATTTCCATCCTGATAGAAATATTGTTTCTGAGACAAGTTGTGTTATGTTGACTCAGGTGGCCTTGGTCCCTGTCTGCTGCCTTACACAGCAGTGACCTTGAGTGTCCTCTATATTACACCTTCAAAATACTTAAATGACTAAACCAACACATAATTTTAAAATTATGTATTTGCTGGGCAGTGGTGGTGCATGCCTTTAATCCCAGCACTCAGGAGGCAGAGGCAGGCAGGTCTCTGTAAATTCAAGGATAGCCTGGTCTACAAGAACTAGTTCCAGGACAGACACCAAGACTACAGAAAAACCCTGTCTCAAAAAACAAAAACAAAATGAATAAAATTATGCATTTGAGTCATGTAGTTACAGTCAAATGCATTTGCAGGGAAAGGATTTGCATATGCAGTATTATTTCTGTCTTCAGACCACAGTAGAAAGAATAGATTATTGTGTGCACTTCAGGGGGCACAGCATAGGCAATCAGCTGTTGGAGCCACCACTATGAAAAAGGGCCTGATTGTGGTAGCAGGAGTGATTTGTAATTTGCTAGCATATTTAAATTAATGTCATGTGAATGAACACAGACTAGATTGTGTGCTATACATATTGGGAAGGTTGTCTTGAGTCAAGAAATATTGAATTAGCAAATAGGCAACTATCCTCTGCAGATATGATTGATCTTGCTTGACACAGTTATTTCGGCTCAGTGATTTGAAAAACAGGCCATTGACTAACTCTATGTGTCAAGTTACAGATCTCAGCAGCCAACATATGTATATGGGCACCATCAATCTACCTCTTATTAATGACATCCCCTCCCCTAGGGAAGGGCCTTCTCTTTTTTCAAAGTTATTATAGAAAATTTTATTTAATCTTAAAAGTACATTATTATCATCACTTCAAAAATCACTTTTTGGTATCAGTTTCAAATACTTTCTTTAAGTGTATTGCTGCTCTTTTCTCTATTTGTTTCTGTTCTCTAATGTTTCTAAGTCATTAGTAGTTTTATTTCATTTCTTTCAAGTTATGTTCATTTCTTTGTAGAGCACTGTCTCCTGTAGCTTAGGCTTGCTTCATGTTGTGTAATTGAGAATTATTTTCAACACCTAATCCTGCCTCTGCAGCCCAATGCTGGGAAGACAGTCCTGTAACTCCTTCCAGGTTTGGCCTTGACTTATCAATGAGAAAGAAAAATAGCAGTTAATAAGTGTCTGCTAATCTTTCTGGCTTTTATTTGGGAACTTAGAAATGAAGAGGGATTGGTATAGGCTTGCAGTCTTCTGTTCCTATTTAAAGTGTTCAGTGTGGAGCCTGAACCTAAAAGATGCAAAGATGGCAACATGTGGAATGCAGAATCTCTTCTAGCCTGGCTTCTCTTCGAGCTGCATCTAGAGATGGGTGTACCATATAATCATAGAGACTTATTTATTGATCTCTCAAATGTGTAGAGTGAATTCTCTCTGGGGAAGTCCTATCAGTTCTAAACAACCGTAGTTTCAGGCTTTCAGAAATTCCTTTCCGAGACTAGCTATCTTACCCTGACATAAGTGGCTTTGGTCCCAGACTTTTCCTCTCCAGGGCAATGACCTTGTTGTCCTGTATGACACCTTCAAAATCTTAAATTAAATGATTGTACCACCTCAGTTTCAAAGTTACACATTTGAGTCAGGAAACTGAATATCCACTGCAGGAAAAATATTTGCATGTGGAGAGTGGTCTCTCTCTTGAGATCAGAATAGAAACAACTATCTCTATTTTTTCTCTTCTCCAATGTTTCTAGGTCATTAATAGTTTCATTCCATTTTTTAAGTGATGTTGATTGTTGATTTCTTTGTAGAGCAATGTCTTCTGTGGCTTAAGCTTGCCTCATGCTAAGTAATTGAGAATTGCTTGAACACCTAATCCCACCTCTGTTGTCTACCATAAGTCAGAAGCCAAATTTGGGCGATAACACATGTTATACTTGTACTGGAAACAAGAAAGATGCACAATCTATAAGTGATAGAATCTTCTTCTGAAGTTCGCTTCAGCACTGTTGCACCAATCTGTTTTGCAGAGTTGGAAACTCAGTTAAGATTCTGTGAGAGTTTACTGAATGAATTTGTAAAAATGGAGCCACAGTTGTATGATGCGATGATAGGATGTTGAGATACCAAGCTATGAGACATATGCCATAAAGAGCTTCATACAGGGAGTGGAAGCAGCAAAAGAGAGACATATACAGGAATAGAACTATGTAAGCCCTTTGAGAATGAAGTCCTAACAGCCTGAGACAGACCTACATGATTCATTGTTTGCCCTGATAAGTTTTAGTCTTACCTTGGTCAAATACCCTAACTGTACTCATATTCCTTTTTTTAAAAATTTATTCTTCTCTCATACTATACAATGAGTCAATACACCCAATTTTTCATCTTATTTTTCCTTTTAGTAGTTAGTAATTCTTCATTCAGTTTCAGTTTTCTTATGTGTACTGTGTACATTAATCTGCTTCCTTGCCTCTCTCTGTTAATAGACATTTCTCTTGTAAGGTGATATCTTATTCAAAGGGTACAGAAGTATAGAATCCTGAACATAATTAGCTGTTAGTCTAGGACCAGGAAAATGGAAATAAATGTTAGGAATAATGGCAGAAATTGAGTATTGTGGTCATAGGATTTCAGTTGGAAATAAACTCCAGAAAAAAAATTAATCCTGAGGTCGTTTGTGTGATATTTTGGCTCAAATCTTTCTTCCTCTGCCTGTGCTCTATAAATTGAGTAAGACAGAATTAAAAAATAATGAGCTAATTTCTTAAATGGAACATTGAATATGTTCAAAGGTTATCACTGATGGCTTATTCAGGTGCACAGTGGAAAAAACAAGTGAGCAAAAATTAATAAAAATGAGAAGGTAGTTTCAGACAGCAGTCATGTGTTGAGATAGGCAGGGATTTTCAAGGTGTTTATCACCATTATAGAGAAGGCCCATGCTATGGAATGGAAGCTTATCAAGGTGCCACAAGCATAAGACTCTGGCCACAGAAAACTTCAATTTAGGGAAGGTGTGAGCAAAGTGATTCATAGTCTCAGGAAGCTACTTCTTTTTTTTTTTTGTTTGTTTTTGTTTTTGGAGACAGGGTTTCTCTGTGGTTATGGAGCCTGTCCTGGAACTAGCTCTTGTAAACCAGGCTGGTATCAAACTCACAGAGATCCACCTGCCTCTGCCTCCCGAGTGCTGGGATTAAAGGCATGCGCCACCACCACCTGGCAGGAAGCTACTTGTTTCAAAACTTTCTGCACCTGTGGTCCAAGCTTGTTAGTGTCCTTCACAAATAAGAAATCACACTTTTCAGCATCACCCCTATGTGTTGCTCTTGGAAACAAGAAAGAATCAAAATTTAAGATCATGAATTTTTAGTTTATGGTTACAGTTTATCATTGTTGCAGGCATCTATGTTATGCAGAGTTAGAAGCCCAGAGAGGAGACAGTGAGAGTTCATTGCATGGAGCTCTGAGGATTGAAGCCTGGCATTGTTGGTTGTTTTCTTTTACTTCTTTCTCTATTGAGAATCTGCTACCCATTTATCAAATAAATCTCACACATGGAGGCTTATGTTTTCTTTCCTTTTTTTTTTTTTTTTTTTTTTTGGTTTTTCGAGACAGGGTTTCTCTGTTGTTTTGGAGCCTGTCCTGAAACTAGCTCTTGTAGACCAGGCTGGTCTTGAACTCACAGAGATCCTCCTGCCTCTGCCTCCCGAGTGCTGGGATTAAAGGCGTGCGCCACCACCGCCCGGCTGGCTTATGTTTTCTTATAAATGTCTGACCTTGCTTTGCTTTGGCTTCTTTCAAGGATGGTTATTTTAAACTTAATTTTTTCTTTCTATCTTTTCACTCTGGCCTTCATCTTTCTCTATTCTGTATTCCCTTCTTTATTTCTGACTCCATCATTTGCTGTGTAGCTAGGTGAATGTCTCCTGTTGTTCTCTCCTTTTCTTGCCTTGTCTTCACTTTTTCATCCCAGAGTTCTCCTTTCTTTTATTCTCTTTGGCTGCCAGCCCTCTCTATGCTTTCTTGTCGTTCTCTTGGTCCTTCAGTTCTTTTCCATATAAACCAGGTATTTTAGATAGGCAAAGTATCACAACTTCACAGAGCTAAACCAATGCAGCATAAAAAATGGCAGCACTTCTTTGCATCATTAAATCAAAAGTTCTACAGCATAAACAAGTAAACACAATTAGAGATGTTATTTCACAACACACTGGATTTTCATTTTGAGCCCAAAGATGTTAAGATACCTAAGTTATGACACAACTTCCATGGAGACCTAGCTGCTTATAGTGAGTGGAAGTTACCAAAGAGAGAAATGCATGAGAAGTCGCAAGGACAGGGCCGTTTAAGCTATTTGCTACTGAAGCCATGCATCTGACAAGGGAGCTACAGGATTTGATGTTTGTCCTGCTCTACTTCAGTCTTGGCATGGTCCAGTCTTCCCTCACTGTGTCTCCATCTTTCTCTCCTGGAATGTTAATGGGATTTTGTGCCATTCTATATTGGCAATCTGTAACTAGTTTTCATGTTTTACAAGATGTTACTGTCAAGAGACAGAAGCTTCTCAGCTTCAGGATGTGCCATTTATTATCTGTGCTACTGTGGTTTTACGAAGGAAGTGGTCTACTGTGCCCATGTATTACAGGCTTCTTCCCACTTTCTCTTCTATCAGGTTCAGTGTGTTCGGATTGATATTGAGATCTTTAATCCATTGGGACTTGAGTTTTGTTAATGGTGACGAACATGGATCTATTTTTATTCTTTTACAGGTTGTCATCCAGTTATGCCAACCCCATTTGTTAAAGATACTTTCTTTCTTCCGTTGTATAATTTTAGCTTTTTGTCAAAAATCAGGTGTTCTTAGGTTTGTGGGTTAATAGCTGTGTCTTCAATTCAATTCCATTGGTCAACGTCTTTTTTTTTTTTTTTTTTGGTTTTTCGAGACAGGGTTTTTCTGTGGTTTTGGAGCCTGTCCTTGAACTAGCTCTTGTAGACCAGGCTGGTCTCGAACTCAGAGATCCACCTGCCTCTGCCTCCCAAGTGCTGGGATTAAAGGCATGCGCCACCACTGCCCGGCAACGTCTCTGTTTTTATGCCAATACCAAGCTTATTTTTTTTTTTTTTGCTTTTGTTTTTTTTTTTTTTTTCAAAATAGGGTTTCTCTGTAGCTTTGGGGCCTGTCCTGGAACTAACTCTTGTGGACTAGGCTCATCTTGAACTCACAGAGATCCACCTGCCCTGCCTCCTGAGTGCTGGGATTAAAGGCATATGCCATCAGCATCCAGCCAATACCAAGTTTTTTTTCATTGCTGTAGAGTTTGATATTAGGAGGGTCATGCCTCTGGAAGTTCCTTTATTGTATAGGATTGTATTGGCTATCCTGGGTTTTTTGTTTTTTCCATATAATGTTGATTATTGTTCTCTCAAGATCTGTGAAGAATTTTGTTGGGATTTTGATAGGGATTGCACTGAATCTATAGATTGCCTTTGGTAGAAATGCCATTTTACTATGTTGATCCTACCAATCCAAGAGCATGGCAGATCCTTCCATTTTCTGGTCTCCTCTTCAATTTCTTTTTTGGAAGACTTAAAGTTTTTGTCAAAGAGATCTTTCACTTCCTTGGTTAGAGTTACCCCAAGATATTTTATGCTATTTGTGGCTATCATTAAAGGTGATATTTCTCTGATTTCCCTCTCCACTTCTTTATCTTTTGTGTATAGGAGGGCTACTGATTTCTTTGAGTTGATCTTGTATCCTGCCACATAACTTAAGGTATTTATTAGCTGTAGACACTCTCTGGTAGAGTTTTGGGGATCACTAATGTACACTATCATATCATCTGCAAATAACGAAAATTTAACTTCTTCCTTTCCAATTTGAATCCCCTTGATCTCCTTATGTTGTCTTATTGCTATTGCTAGAACTTCAAGCACCACATTGAAGAGATATGGTGAGAGTGGACAGCCTTGTCTTGATCCTGATTTTAGTGGAATGGCTTTGAGTTTCTCTCCATTTAATTTGATGTTAGCTGTCAGCTTGCTGTATATTGCTTATATTATATCCAGATATGATCATTGTATCCCTATTCTCTCCAAGACCTTTATCCTCAGTATGGAAGCAGGGCCTCTTGCTGGGCTCCAAGGACCTCACAGAGAAAAAGGCCGTGCATCATTCTTTGTAGGAACTTCAGTAAACATCTCTGAATTCTTTCATTTGTTCTTTCATTGATTTTATTCAATGGATACAGTGTCTTAATGTATACTTCCACCTGTCCTGGACATGATTCCATAGACTTGGCTGACATTCAAACCAGGAAAATATATCCACCTGTGCTTCAGAAATTCTGAGTTTAAAGGCCTGAGTCAATACACCCAGTTTGTCTACTGTATTTTTTTTGTGATTAGTATTTCTTCATACAATTTTCTCATGTGCACTATGTCCTGTTGATCTGTTTCCTTTGTCTCTCTATTAATAGTTCTTTTGTGAGGTGATATCCCATTCAAAGGGTACAGAAATGACAGAGGTGAATCTCCTATTCAATTTCCTTCTAAAGTGATTGTCTGTGTCTTGGAATAATACCAGAATTTTATGACTATACAGTCAAAGAAGTATACATTTACGATGTTGTCACCATCATGCTTTCTATTATACATGTGACTGAAATATTTTAGAGGGCAGTGACCTATGATGATGTGCATATCAACTTTACTCGGGAAGAGTGGAATTTGCTGGATCCTTCCCAGAAGAATCTCTACAAAGATGTGATGCTGGAGACCTACAGGAACCTCACTACTATAGGTAAAAATGAATTTTCTTCATGTTTCAAAATAAGGGGATAATTTTTTCTTGTTTAATGATGTTCTTCTGTAATTTGATTTAGAAAGAATAAGAATGAGTTGAATAAAGCAGTCATAGTTCTAAGGCTCCCTTGAGATAACAGTTTAAATATTGCATAATTTTCAATAACTTAACATATATTTTCTGGTATTATATTTTAGAATGCATTTGGGAAGACCATAATAGTGAAGAACATTGTCAATTTTCTAGAAGACATGAAAGGTAATTTTCATGGGCAAGCTGATAACAGATGATACTTTTTAAGGCATAGCACCATGAGAGCTTTGTTGTAGATCTGCAAATAAATTTCTTTTTGCTACTCATAATATAAAAGTACACACATTGAAGCAATGATAAGTATATCTGCAAAATTATTTACTAAACCAATAGCCCATAGTAAATCTTGTATTCCTTGTACACTTCTTGTGACTGTGCTAAGTTTAGTGAGAGAAGCAGTTAGAGTTGAATCATTGGCAGTTGTTCTGCAGAAACCTTTATCTATACCATAAGTCTGTGAGGAACAGCAAGTTCCCTTAGAACTCAACGTGAAAATATTTTAATTGAAATTCTTCTTTACTATGTATACCATAGGTTACTCTTGATACAAGAATATGAGCATAGGGATATAGAGAGATGTAGCATCCCACTCTCTAAGAATAATTAGATAACCAATAGTCCCCATGTTGAGTATACTTGTTGAATTGGATTAAATTATACAATTAATTGGTTTTCCACCATCACTGTTAATATATGAACAAACTCTCACTGCAAGAAGCCCTATGAGTTCTAGAACTGTGCAAATACTGTTGGGTGTCCTAGTTCACATAACATATGTAATATGGTTCATGGTATAGGAGAATTCATGAATGTTAAAGCTGAGTTTATCCAGTTCTCTTCGCCTTTGTGTAAATTATCATAGAAAAAAAGATTCTGTGACTATAAAAAGGTAAGCCATAAAAGAAAGGGATTTGCCATTGGAGGTATCTTTCAAGTTGCAAAGAGCAAAACATGAGTTTAGACAGACTTACAAAAACATAGTATCTGATTCCTCTTTAGAATTGGAACATATTATAAAATTCATAGAAATGTGTAGGCACAACAGTGTATTCAATGTAGTAAAGCTTTTACATGTGCCAATTATTCTTACAGGAGTGAGAGAATTCAAACTGGAGAGAAACCTTCAGTAAATTTTCAATGTGATAAATCCTTGACATATGACAAGCACCTTAAATGGAATGAAAGAACACATACTAGAGAGAAACCCTATGAATGTAATCAGTGTGGTAAGGCCTATGCTTACCGCAGTACTCTTCAAAGCCATGAAAGAACACATACTGGAGAGAAACCCTATGAATGTAATCAATGTGGTAAGGCCTTTGCACGGCATAATGCTCTTCAATACCATGGAAGAACACATACTGGAGAAAAACCCTATGAATGTAACCAGTGTGGTAAAGCCTTTGCAGCTCAAAGTACTCTTCAAGTACATAAAAGAATACATACTGGAGAGAAACCCTATGAATGTAATGAATGTGGTAAGGCCTTTGCAGCTCACGGTACTCTTCAAAACCATAAAACGACACATACAGGAGAGAAACTATTTGAATGTAATCAGTGTGGCAAGGCCTTTGCAGTTCACAGTAATCTTCAAAACCATAAAAGAACACATACTAGAGAAAAACCCTATGAATGTAATGAGTGTGGGAAAGCCTTTGCATCTCACAATAATCTTCAGAACCATAAAAGAACACATACTGGAGAGAAACCCTATGAATGTAATCAGTGTGGTAAGGCCTTTGCACGACACAGTAATCTTCAAAACCATAAAAGAACACATAGTGGAGAGAAACCCTATGAATGTAATGAGTGTGGTAAGGCCTTTGCACAATACAGTAATCTTCAAAAGCATAAAAGAACACATACTGGAGAGAAACCCTATGAATGTAAAGAGTGTGGGAAGGCCTTTGCATTTCACAGTAATCTGAAATGCCATAAAAGAATACATACTGGAGAGAAACCCTATGAATGCAATGAGTGTGGAAAGGCCTTTGCAACTCACGGTACTCTTCAAAACCATAAAAGAACACATACAGGAGAGAAACTGTATGAATGTAATCAGTGTGGCAATGCCTTTGCTGTTCACAGTAATCTTCAAAGCCATAAAAGAACACATACTGGAGAAAAACCCTATGAATGTAAAGAGTGTGGGAAGGCCTTTGCATCTCACAATAATCTTCAGAACCATAAAAGAACACATACTGGAGAGAAACCCTATAAATGTAATGAGTGTGGTAAGGCCTTTGCAGCTTATCGTACTCTTCAAGTACATAAAAGAATACATACTGGAGAGAAACCCTATGAATGTAATGAATGTGGTAAGGCTTTTTCACAGTACATTGTTCTTCAATGCCATAAAAGAACACACACTGGAGAGAAACCATACGTATGTAATCAGTGTGGCAAGGCCTTTGCATCTCACAGTAATCTTCAAAACCATAAAAGAACACATACTGGAGAGAAACCCTATGAATGTAATCAGTGTGGGAAGGCATTTGCAGCTCGCAGTACTCTTAAAAGGCATAAAATATCTCACTCTAGATAGAAACTCTATGAACTTAATCAGTGTGGTAAGAGCGTTGCACAGCACAGTCATCTTCAAAGGCATAAAAGAACACACAAAAGAGAGAAACCCGATGGATGTATTTCATGTGGTAAAGCACAGTAATCTTCAAAGGCTTAAAAGAACAAGAAACTGAATGAAATCAGCATGATAAAGCCTTTTCATGTCTTATTCATCTTCAAATGCATATATGTACACCTACAGGATAGAAACCGTAAATGGAATCTATGTGGTTAATCCTTTGTCACAATAATCTCCAAATACATTAAACAATCCATCCTGGAAAGAAACTATGAATTTAATGAGTATACTCTTCAAAAAGATTTTTTAAAAATCATACTGCAGTGAAACTCTCTGAATATATCCATTATGGTAATGTTTTGTACTTTATACAGGAGTAAATCTTTTTGTGTATACATCTGATAAAGCTTGTGCAAATTACAATATCCTTTGGTTACCTAAAGAAGAACCTAAGGGCTTATTCTAAATTATGTTTTAAGATCCTTACAGTCAGCTAACTAACAACATTCGTTCTGTAGAAAAAAATTTAATCATGTCAATGATCTGTTCAATATGATACCTCTTTATTTTGTTTGCAACAGCAAACTAATGAACAAAAGCTAATTCTTGAATTTATGAAATCATATGGGTAGGAGAAAAGGCTAGTCAAAGAAACACATCCTGATCCTGAAATGAAATCTAAAGTAAAACACTTTATCTCTAAATCTAGAACTGGTTATCGAAACAATATCACCCTGAAAACAGAACCAAAAAAATAAAAAGGGCCAGTGAAGCAAACACACTTTTGCTCTCAATCCAGAGCCAAAGAAACACTCTTCCCTTGTTCAACTGAGCACCAAAGCAACCAATCTCTGAGCACAGAATTCTGCCCATGTCTCAGCTTGTTCAAACTCAGGGACTGAAATCTGACAAATTTCCACCTTCAAAATCTCCTTAGATCTGGTTTTAAGAAGCCCTATATAATTCATATTGCTCATTCAGTTAGCAGCTGTTTCTTTCCACCTTGGCAGAGGCAGTCACTCTCTTCCCTCCCATATAAATCTCCTGACTGAGGTTTCTGTGAAGAACTTCTTTCACTGGAATGGATCAGAAACTCCCTAGTGGAGTTGAATTGAGACATAATTGATACTTCTACTTGAAAGTCATTTAACCCAGAGGAGCACAGCAGCAATGGACACCTCTTTTGAGGCACTTCATTAGGGGAGTAGAGCAGATCAGTAACAGACATTTCTGCTGGGAAACTCTCTTAGAAGAATTGAGCGGATCCTCTCTCTCAGAGAGGAACATCATTGCCTCATCTAGTGTGGCACCCTTCTCTTCACAACTGTAGGTGTTTCCTGACTTCAGGCAGTAAGGGTATCTTTCCCTTCAGAACTGTAACTCTTGAGTTGTGAAGTTGAATGATAATGTAACTCTTTTAGATTTTATACTTCTTCAATTGCAAGACCAAAGTAATTAAGGTATAAGGATTTATGGATGGGTACTTTGGTCTTTTGTTTTGTTTTTCAAGACAGGGTTTCTTTGTAGCTTTGAGCCTGTCCTGGAACTAACTAGTGTTGTAAATGTTTTAAATTCTATTTAGCTCACTTTTAAGTCTGAGCTAGGAACAAACTCAGAATGAAAAAGTTCATATTCATGAAAAAAATGTTAATGGCTTTAAACATCACAGATTTCTTTAGCTTCAAGAAAAATAATTTTTTATCATAGCCTTGCAAGAAATAAATTACATACCATGTTCATTCAAAACTGATAGAGGAGATAATTGCATTGTGGTTTCTATTTTTACGCATTTGAGGTAGTCACTAGAGTGTGCTGTACGTGTGGCAAATCCATTTAGTGAAGTTTAATTTGTAGACTTTATATTCCTTCTACGACTTTTTCATCTTCTGTTGTGCCTGTACCTTGTGATAGGTATTTCTGCTGTAATGTATGTAATGGAGCCCTTATCATATAATTTTTCTCAATGGTTATTGAAATATCAGGCCATGTTTAAGCATACTTTCATAAAACAGTGGTGATTTATCTTTCTGGTTTTGATTTTTTCTTTTCACAAGTATTTCATTGAAATTTTGTTGTTTGATATCCATCTTATCTTGGATATCAGTAATGATTCAGGGATACATTTGAACTCATGAGTACAAGTCCAAGGGTAGATGATGAACTACCAATGTGCTGTTTTTTCAAGAGAATTTAACAATGTTAATTTTAAAATGACTGATAAAAATTATAAGAAACATTAAATACTTGATGTGTGTATTCAAAGAAGTATTTTTATTTATCTGATATGGATGTAATAATTTATGAGAATCAACAAACATCTGTGTATGTAATTCCATAGCTTGAGGTTCTACAGGAATTGAGGTAAGATTTCTAGTCTTGCTCCGAACAGTGCTTTCCCACTGAACCATTTCAGTGGTGCTCAAATTCAATTTGAATAAATATTACACTAGTAAAATATGTTCATTTTGAGGAGTAGACATTTATTTATAACACTTTTTCAAAACCAAAATTATACACCAGGAAATTGCCTCATTTAGTAAAGATCATTGCTGCTAAGTCTGATGACCTGGGATCTATCTCTGGGTTATGCACAATACCTTTACAAGTTTTCTCATATTTCTTTACATTAGCAGTTACCCATAGACACTCCTCCAACAGCTCATTCATTCATGAATAATTTTCAAACCCAAAGAAGTGCCATTGAGGTCATTTGTAGGCAAATATCTCCATAGGTTTAATCACTAGAACTCACAAAGCGGAAGTAGATTATTGACCCCTGCTAGCTTTCCTGTCAGTGCTACATACACATCATGGCACAGGTGTATTCACACAAACACTCCAAACAATTTTAAACAGATGGAATTAACAATGCAAAGAAAGTAACAAATTACTGAGACCATATGAAATAATTTGGCCATTTAAATTATAGAATTGCAAGAAACATTGCTATTCATCAAAACAATGATGCTCCATTTTATATCTTATTTTATTATTTATTTCTCTGATTCAATTCAATTAAAATTAAAATTCAGTGCATTTAAAAACACATATTTCACCTGGACATAGAATTGTATGGCTATAATTACAACACACAGGAGTGTGGGCTGGGCTGATCTCAGTAAGGCCAGCATATTCCCCAAAATAAATTCCTGGCATCCATGGCTATGTGGAGGTAACCTGTCTTAGAAATAAAAAAAACTTAAATTATGGATCTTATGTTCATAAAATATGAGTGGTTCTTGGTTGGCCAGGAAGTACAACCACCTTGTTTTCATTTATTGGTGGCACCAACTATTGGTGACAGTAAAAATAAAGTCACTTTTGTATGCTTACACATTACAAATTTCACTTATCCCAACTTTTGTTTATAGAACACAATTAACCATCATGCATTTAACTAATTCATCTTTCTGAACTATCAATAAATCAGATACAATTAAAAACAGGAGATATAGAGCATTCTACAGTAGAAGTCAGCAACCATATCTTTGACTCCAGAACTTTGTGGTAAATTTTTATAGGGTCTAGTGTGTGGTAATCAAGTAGATCAGTGGTACTGAGTAAGAAAGGACATTTCCGGGAAGGAGTTGGAGGTAATTCCCAGTAATGCTGCCCAGAAATTATTCAAGATGCCGTCATGTTGAATAACAGACCAGACATGGGCTGGAGCCACAAACAAATGCATGACCTTGATACCTGTGGGTGTCTGTCCTAGAGAATTAAATCAGGGCTCCACACATATTTTGATTTACAGAAATACAGGGAAAGTGGCCAGCAGGTGCATGACCTGAGCCCTCAGGTCGGATAGAGAAAGAAGACACACAAACAGTAAACTTAGAATCTGTTAAGGGAGCTGCTTGATTTGTTGCTAATGCTGAGTCATGAAGCCCTTGGTTGAAGGAGGCAAGCCTCTGGTCACTGCTAGCAAGCATAGCCCACCAAAGAAAAGGCAGTTACAAAGACATTGCATTTGACTATGTTTTTGGGTGTTCAGATTTTTTTCCAAGTTATTTCAGATTTTTTGTGAAAGTTTTGGCTACACATTGGAATGGCATTTGTGAACAGACTTATTTTTCCTAACTGCCACCTCAAGATTACCAAACAGAGGCTTTTAAGATTTTAAGAATTGAAAATGTTTACCCAAGATCATAGTTATTACTAGCCTGCTCTTACATTTTAAATTAACCCATATTCCCCATTTAGTGTCTTCCACTGGTAGAACATTTATCAGCATGGCACATTCATGTCTTCCTCCCTCTGCCTCATGCCCAGCTTCTAGCCAGTCAGTGTTTTATTAAACCCATTTGAGTGACAAATCATTGGAGTATACAAGAGAATTACTCCAACATAGATGTTACTTAGAAATGGGATTTCGTTTACCAAAAACCTTAGTACTCATGGAACTGTGACTTCATTTTTATGTAAAACCTACTCAATGGCTGGGAATGTTCATGTTACAAATATAAATAAGCATACGTAAACATTTAGAAAGCTACACAAAGTTAGTATTGATTTGTATGTATATTTGTAGGTACAAGTTTATATCTGTGTGGAGATGTATGTATGTGTATGATTCTGTATGTGTGTATGATGGGGAAGCTCTATTAACCAATCATGCCTAGTAAAGACATGGCTAACTGGAACCCAGGAAGAAAACTGGGACTTACCAGGTGCTCACTCTCTGCGTAATTCTCACCGACACAGAGGATGTTGGACTCCCCATTCTTGTGGTGTGAGTTTCCCATTGTAACCATTAAAAATATAATTGTTATCCTTAAGCTGGCCTGGTTATTTCCCATATTGAGCTAATTCACAACATGCATGTTTATATGTGTGGAATACAAGAGAAACTCTGGTGTTATTCCTCTGATTTTCCCAAACTTATTTGTTATTTCTTTTGAGATAGAGTCTCTGATTACTCTGTAACTTTCCAAGTAGACTAGGCTAGCTGGCCAACAAGCCCTATGTAGCCAATATTCTCTGTGTCCCAGTACAGTATTAAAACTTCTTGTGACCATAGTTTTTTTTTTCTCTTTCTCTTCAGTATAGATTCTGGGCCTCAAATTGATTTCCTTAAGCTTACAAGGCAGGCTCACCTGTCTT